TTTTGATCATCCACTTCTTCTTGAGGAACTCGTTGTTGGAGTCCACCATGCCGTATCGACAACCATCTATGCGGCAGTCATTCCATTCTTGCCCATGTTGTTCAAAAAGAGCTTGTATGGCAAGAAGGGGTTTCTGTTTCCAACCAAAGCAAGGGTGAGGCCATTCATAGTAGACCAGTATGTCGGGGTCTTCAGCTAAGGCCTCAGACAGAAACTCATGAACATGCCAAAGAACTCGTCGTTCACGTCGTCGATGATCTTCAAGAAGTTGTTGACGTTCAGGTCCAGCATAGTTGAGCGAAGTCCAAGGGCACCAGAACGTACAAGGAAGCGAAAACCAAAGACGTCGAGGACGATGTCGGCGGCGTAGAGCTCGAAGATGATCCCAGGTCTCCTTGCGGTAGAGGTCATAGCCAGCTTGAAGGTTGATGCGTCGAGGTCGTAGTCCTTGTCGATCAGCAGCTTCAGAAAGCCATGAATGAGGTGCACAGGCAATCTCCCAAAGTCCATCGCGATCATCCAAAGAAAACGAAGTCAAAGAAGCCGATGCCATTGCCATCATAGTTGTGAACATCACCATCACCTTGGCAGCCATTCGTTGTGTCATCTCCACAGGCTTGATGTTCTTGTTGGCAATCTTTGGGACCTTGACATTCTTTGGGACTGTGGCAAACGCAGGCACCTGGTCATTCTCAAGGGTGTTGGCATTCTTGAAGGTCTCGACATCCACAGACTTGAAGTCATTCTTGAGGACGTTGTCATACCTCAGGCCATCTCGTTCTCGTTGTTGGCATTCTCCTGGCGCTCGCGCATGAGCTGTTGAATCTGGTTCTTCTCCTCGGCCGTCAAGTGGCGTTGAAGATCTTCTGCACTCAGAGCTTCCGGATTCTCCACAACGCTCCATTGCGACGCCGGAGATGTCGTTGAAGGTGACGACCTTGAAGGACTTGCCTTGGCCTTGGCATATCCCGTGGTCGCATGCTTGTCCTTCTCGTAGTTGATGGTGACCTGAAGCACTTCTTCCGCCTCGATCAGCTTGATCATCGCCAGGCATATCTGTTGGGTTGGACGGCATTCTCCCATCAGAGGTTGAAGACGGTCCAGCATGCGCTTCACCATGGCAGGGTTCTCCACTTTGGTTGCACCTGAGTGGCTTCCCTTCTTGGGCGTGTACTGGAGCCTCAAGTTGCACACTGCGCAATGCACCCACTGGCCGTGAGCATTGCCGTGAGGCTTCATTGGTGTGTGTGACCCGTGACAAGGCCATTGATTTGGATCCGCACGTGGATCCCTGCTGTCGAAGCCCATCATGCGCTCCGGGTCCAATGCCCGTGGTGGAGCTTTTGGCGTCACAGCAGTGATTGCATCCCGAACTTGCTTTTGGTGAAGTTCCTGCGACATGGTCAGGCGGCACGCAGGAAGCAGATGCGAACGAATTGGGGAGATCAGTTTGGTCTCGCGGACACATTGAAGCCAGAGAGGCTGCAGCATTCGCATCAACTCGGCCATGTTGGTGAGCATGAAGTGCCAACAGTTGCCTTCTTGATTTTTCCAAAACCTCTTGATCATGTACTCGATCAGCTACATGCAAATCATAGAACTCCGCTGGATGAAACTCCAAAGTTTGCAGCTCTGCAGATTGCGTTTCACCCTCCATGACATGTATTGTAGGATGTCCCTCATGGTTGCTATTCCCCAAAGTCAGGTAGTGGACAATATCCCTGATGTAGTGACCCTTGTGGTTACATGGAAGTTGAAAAACATTTGGTTGGGGGTTCGTCGATTCCAAAGCCATGCCCGTGTTGAAGTCGATGGTTAAAGCTGATTCAGGACAATCTTTACCAGGTAGGTGATCCATGCCAAGTAGAACTGGAACCATATTGTTTTGGTCGCCATTCTTGGGGTCCGGCAAACAATACATATGAAACGTTCTTTCACAACCAGAAACCTTTGAGGTGATTGAGACCCTGAAGTTTGCTTGCCCCCAACAACCATTCCCAAAACGAAAATAAGGCCGCATGTATTTCGCAATGGTCACAGCAGCTCCACGATCCTGGGCAAGCACAGAGCTGATTAGCTTCTGCACACTGGTTTCAGGCCCAGCGCTAGCAGTTGCCCCGCAGTCGAGGAGGCCAAGGTTCGGCTTCATGTTGGTGGCAGCAGTGGAGTGAGCCTCAAGTGGTTCACGAAGTTCCAGGCCGTAGAAGGACTGGGTCTCAGCTGTGTATGCATTCACTGTCGGACGACTCGGCACATTCTTGGATTTACCTTTCCCTTTCCACATGGCATTCATGTCAACCACATTGAAGGATTTGCCCTTACCCTTACCTTTCGGTTTGCCTTTGCCCTTCATGTAGTAGGCGTCGGCCATCTCCCATTCTGCAGCATAGACATTGGTGTACTTGCCTTTGCCTTTGCCTTTCATGTAGGCTGGGTGGAACTTGTCAGGGCAGTCCCTAGCAAAGTGGTTGCCTCCACATAGAAAGCATTTGCCATCATTGGGTGGACGTTGTTGTCCAAATCCACGGTCTCGTCTCAAGGCAGCGGTGGCCTTTTGGGCCTCAGTCCATGTTCGTTGTGCTTGTAGCGCAAGAGCTTCAGCTTCTCGTTCTGCTTGAAGTGAGTCTTGAAGAGCCGCATCATCAGGTGGTGGATCTTCAGCAGGTTGTTCATGTTGGCCATACTGAGCATCCTGCCAAGAATCCCAACTGGAATCCCAAGCATCAGGCTCAGTCCAGTAGTTCTCGTAGGTCTCATCGTTCCACCATTCATAGTCATAGGGCTCCTCAGAAGCGTGGTAGGCCTCATTGAAATAGTTTCCCATAGAGCTCCGCATTGAAGAAGCTTGACGCCCAAGGAACTGCTCATCCCAAAGCGTCTGCAAGGCCTTTGTGACCACATCGAACTCCAAGCTCCCTTTCGTAGAAGCTAAGATGTCCCTCTTATCTTCAGGACTCAAACCAGCAGCTTGTAGAAGTCGAAAACCACGTAGTACCCCAAGGACGAAACTGTCCGCCAAGCTGAACTCGTTGATGTCGGAGGTCTCGAAGCCAGGTGGCACCGTAGAACCAGGAACTCCCACAGAGCGGAAGCTTACAGCACGTGGTGATTGCCTCGTAGGAGACATTCCAGTGCCATCACCTCCAGCAGCAGCCGAAGTAGACCTCGTTGGTGAAGAAGTCGCAGCAGCAGCGCCTGTAGGTCTCGACGGTGATGTAGGAGCAGCGTCAGGTTCAGGTTCATCAGTAGCATCATGCCACCAGTCTTGCCAATCATCTCGAGGAAGTTCTTCAGGTAAGTCGAAGTTCTTCTCATGTTGTTGGACTCCCTGTTTATCCTCGTAGAGCAGCAAGAGCGCCTCCACAAACTCAGAGTAACCCAAGGCTTCCCTTACAAGGAAAGTATTCATCTGTTCACCAGCATCTCTTCTGAAGTTGAAGTACTGCTGACATGTGGCCGCAGCATTGGGCAAGGTCTGCCTGACTAATGGCGAGGTCGCCAAACGTTGCAGCAAGTCTCTGACACCGTTGACGTGGTCAAACTCCATGGTGGTCCAGCTCATAGCTAAGAGTCTGGCGGGACCTTTCAGTCGGCTAACCAGTTTGGTCGCGCAGTACCTGCGCTTTTCTACAGGTGTAGCCCTCACATACCAGCAGACTTCTCTGGTGTATCTTCTCCAGGAACGCGCACTACCATCCCAGACCGGAATGTTCTGCTCCTTCTCAGAAGCCATGATGCCAAAATGGCAGGTTGGGCCAAAGTGGCCAGCAAGGACTCAAGCCGTATCGCTTGAGAGTGCAAAAGAAAAGAGTTGCCAAAGAGCTCGGCCAAAAGGTTGAAGGTGTCCTGGATGTAGATCCAAAACCAACCAGTTAGGCCCTTCCAATCTGGAGGACAAGTCACCTCAGGTGACGCTCAACAGGATTGGAGCACAGGCCTCGGAGCTTTCGTGCTCCGCTACCAATGTAGCGGGAGCACAGCGGATCGTATTGGGCTATTGACCCCTCCAATCCCAACTCACTTGCCTCACGCAGTTGTTGAAAAGGAAATAGTCTCAGCCACCACCACCACTCGAAGAAGCGCACACAGCACTGGTTTTTCACTGACGCCAGAGGTCAGGGAATCGCCATTGGCAGCATTGGACGGCACACTAAAAAGGGGCCCCTCCTTGAGCCAAAGAGCAGTTGGTGTTCTCCATGACTCAACGACCTGACAAGTCTGATGGCAGTTGCAGTATACCCCCATTGAACGGTTATTTTAATGGTGAAATTTGTTTTCACGGAATGGAGAAACGTAATTTCTATATATTCGCTTATATCCAAACACCATATGCACATGATATATCTGGTTCGTGGTTTGGAACATTTGGATTATTTTCCATATATTGGAAATGTCATCATCCCAACTGACTTTCATATTTTTCAGAGGGGTAGGTATACCACCAACCAGATATTATCACTTTGGGTGGTTGAACCCCCCCATTTTGGCGACCGAAATCCCCAAACTTTCCATGTCCCCCTAAGGCGTCCACCGAAGTCGGTGCCTAGCACCGGTGCAGAATCCTCCGTCCATTTGTCCGCAGAAAACTAGGGATGTCTCTGGGAAAAAACCTGGTTTTTCACCAGCAAAAACAAGGGTTGAACTGGGTTTAACCATCAAATTGGGGAGTTGAAGCGGCTGAAATTGAGATTGAAGCAACAGAAATGGGTGTACAACCAATAGAGGAGGGGATATGAAGCAGCAAAGTTGGAAAGGTAACCAAAAACTGGGAGCATTTGCCTACAAGATTGATTTTCTTGTAGCCAGATTGGATTTCTGGTGTGTTTTGGTCATGGTAGTCCCCCAACAGTTAGAATAGGGAAGCCGCTGTACTTGAGGAACACTTTCAATCTCATTCGGCAAGGGCATGTTTTTTTCCCGATCTTTAGAGTCACTTCCTTTCGGGCAGAGATGGCAGAGGTTTCAGGACATTTTTTCAAAGACTTGGCAGATGGCGGGCGATGTTTCCAAACCTTCGGCGGCACGTTGCCGGGCACAAGGAGTAGCTCAGTAGCTCCGCTTCCACATGGGGCAAGAACCCTCGGGTTCTTTATTTCTGTGAATTTAGAGGGTTTCCGTTTTGAAGCCACTATTATTTTGGGAGAGTAGGGACCCCCTCATGAATCAGCATAAGAATGAATTGAGAGGCTGAGGCTCACATTTCATTCAAGGAGTCACCCGGTATTCATGGGCATTCTACTATTTGGTTCAACGGGATTCTTATTTCAGTCATGATGGGAATCCCCATCCATCAGACACAACCAATCCCCCAATTTGAACCTTGCCCTTTCAGTGGAGGCGGGAACAACAGCTGTTCGGTTCAAATGATCAACAGCTTGTACAGGCTGAGAAATAGTGAACTCAAGGCTGGTTGGTGGTATTCCAGACCCATCCTGGAGGTGGTACGTGTAGAATAGTAGGGCTTGGTGGTGTCAACACAGATTCTTGTCATCCCGATTCAAGGCGATCCCAGTTTGAGGTGGCAGTGGCTTGGAAACACCAAGCAGAGCGAATTGAAGAGGTGCATGCACGTTCCAGGTTATTTGCGAAGTTATTTGAGTGTAGAGCACGACTGGGCTCTGCCGGGCGATGTCCTTTCCGAAAGAACTCTCATGGGCTTTGAAATGAGGGGAGTTAACTATCAACCATGGAAAGAGACAACTATTTTCTGTGTTTTCGGTACCATTTTTTCCGTTATCCTAAGCCATCAGTGTATTGTTGGCCTACGTTTTGGATTCTAGCAGGGCCGGGAAGGGCTTCTCCATTCGATCAGGAGTTTGAAAAAAAAATCGCGCTACACTTGCTTGCAGCATGTCAGCAGAGTTTCCAGGACTTTCCGAGACTTCCCAAGTGGATGAGCATCCCAGGGGCCCCACTTTGGACTGCACTGCTAAGTTGTAAGGATGACTGTAGTCTCCAGCTATATGGGATGGCCATCCAAAAATCCCCATCTCTCAGCAGGTTGCCCTGAATCTCAAAAAACATGTTGCAGAATGGTTTCAGTCAACCTTGTTCGTTAGTTAAATCCTTTCTGTTGTTGGTCATTTCCCGATCTTCGTTGGCATTTTTTTTTTCTTTCATTGTTTCAGTCAATCAGCTAGCTCACTTTTTGCTTGTTGACTTGCTTTCCTGGATATGTATATATATATAATATATATATATATACATATATATATATATACTAACACAATTATATATGTATATATATATACATACATGATTATATATGTAATACATATATATATATATACACATTTGTCAAATCCGTTTTGTGTTGGTTCAATGCAATTTGTGGTCAGTTTAATGACGTTTTCTATACGTGATTATTGCACCCCCCATAAAGATTACAAACATAAGCCACAACTACATATAGCGTAGCAGGATTTGACTAAACTATTTTTTCGGCAGGTCAGCTATTTTGGGTTGATGAAATTCATTTTGTTGACGGTGTAAAGGTAGTACACCTCTAATGGATTGATGGAATCTTATTGTTTGTCGATGGTTTAAAGTTCTACACCTCTGTGACGTCTCTGAGGTGCAGCTGGAGCCGCTGCATGCACTGTGCCATGAAGTCTCGCCTGCCAAAGCTCGGGGCTCCAGCCAGCCATTGGGAGGCAACCCCTCGGAAAATGGCCAGGGGTTTTACCTCACCCAAATGGTATATATTCTCGGTGGTACCCAATTTTCAGACGAACTTATGTTCTTGAGATTTTGTCGATGGTTTGAATTGTTTCGCGGTTTAGCGTGCACCTCGGAGTAAGGAATCCCGTGGTTTGTGGCTTATTATCTAACTGAGAGGGAAAAGCATTTCTAGCGGCAACTTATAACCTTTGGGCTTCCCAATAGTCGACAAGGGTCTATTAATCCAGGCAGACAGGATTTGCAAAGAAAACAAGGTATAGAATCTAGAACCAACAAAACCACATTTACGAGGAACAAAGATGGCCAGATTTCTCCAGGCAAAATACAAACAACACGGGATACAACTTGCTGGTCCCGGCAGTAAATAAGGAAGACCGCAATGAATCTGTAAACTGCCAACAAGAGTTTGGACATACTCAAAAGTGTGTATATATATATATATATGGATATAAATATATATATACACACACACACATGCGGGAACATGTTTTTCCAATTGGATACGGTTCTTTTTTTTGGGGTTCCATGTTGAATTTCATTAGATTTACATATAGCTTCGCTACAATATATAATTCCCCACATATAATTAACAGCAACAATCCCTTTGATACGAATGAGGACAATTGACCCACTGTATTAGGGAAATCCTCTAACAAGCACCTGGACTCATTCTATACTTGGGGGGCGAACCTAGGAAAAGACAATTCTCCGACTCGGACTTGGGGATAACGCTAGCAAAATCATGGGAATCTTAAATCTGGGTTGTGTACATAAATTGGTAATATCCATTTATCCATTGGGTTCCAAATGCCTAGAGAGTTTACCTTTGTTTGGACCATTTTCGGGATCTCCCGAGTGCACCTTGTTCTTTTGCGGCTTTGATCCACGGCTTACATTTTGACCGCCATGTGGAGTTCAGCGGCTAGACATTTGGCATTGAATTTGTTCTTAGTTGCTGGAGCAACAGGCTGTCAATGGTTGGTGAATCTGTCGTACACATTTTTCTTTTGTTGTTGTGACACACTTTGAATGCTATTTGCGAGGTTGCTGAAACAATTCAATACAGCAATGGGTGACAAAAACCACACTTGCTATGCTGAGGCTTTGCAAAGACCCCCTATTTCATGGTCAGGGCCCTAGGGATCAGTCCCGTAACGGCGCGTTTCGCGCTATCAAAGGTCACTTGATGCGGAGACAAGGCCCCTGCCAGTCAAACTGGCTCAAAATCTGTTGTCCTCTAACGGACTTGAAACTTTGCTCCCTCTATGACCAGGGTCCAGTTCGTCCGAGGCCCATCTTCACCGTCATTTCGCCATGTGTTGAGTCTGGTATTCTACAAAAGAGGTATACCGGTATACTGGTATACCGGTATACCCATAAAATTCAAACTTAACGGGGAAAATGATGATCAACCATGATTTTTTGGTCACTTTGTTTTTTTCCTTTGCCAAGCACATCTCTTCTGAAGTTTGATTTTCGTACCGCTTAGGGGGCTAACACGAAAGCCACACCAGCGACATTTTGGATAACCGGTGAGTCCAGTCGCAAACGAGGCTATGCCATGCAGTCATTGTATACATGTGCAACTTTCAGCCAATTCGTGTTGGTCCCCAACCATCCCAAAATGGCAGGTGCTTGTTGAAGCCAGCCTTCGGCGAGAAGGCAATGGAAGGCCGTCTGAAGGGAAGATTTTTATAGGGATATCATGGGGTTGTAAATAGATAATGGGATACTCAACTAGCAATACTCGGTGAAATATGGGTTTGTCTGAAGATCTAGGATTTACCCCATGAACACGGCAATTTGAAATGGAAAATGAGGTTCTAACCAGTGGATGGAACGGGTTTTTGGCGGTTCAACATGGCCAAACTACACTATGAAAGAGAACTATGCCGCCAATCTTTGGGGGAAATCTTGGCATGGTGGAACTCTCCTACTTGGGATAGTTGGGAGCTGAAACAAAGCGGTGCAAAAAATTGGGAGCTTTCGTTCAGACTGACAGACTTGGACCTCAAGGCTTTGATTAGAAAGATCAGCAAACCTTCTTCCAGGGTATCTTGACTTGAATATATTGAATCACCTGACCAGTTCTCCTTTTCCGAGGTCTTTTCATAGGAGTTTGACATGTTGGAAAAAACTACCCGTAAATCGAGCGGTATGAAATCGAGCCCCTTCTACAGGTGTACTGATGGATATGGCGAGCGGTATGAAATCGGGATACCGATGGAGCCACAGATAACTGGTCATTTTGAGTATTTATGTGAAACATTCTGACAGCATTTGCCTTTTTTTTGGTATATATATATATATCACTGTATAATACTGTATATGTATATATTTGGTGTAATGTGGGTAAAAACAATATAAAGCACCCATTTGGGAATGGTACACATACCACCTATGAAAATGGTGATTTATTTGGGGGATGCTGCAAATGGCATTGTTTTACCCACATTATAGCATATTATAGCTACTTTATCCATATAATCCCACATAACCCCATAATTTTGAGATATTTTGCACCACCACCAGAAAAATATCTGCAGGCCGAGGAACCGTGATCATTTGTCCTGGAGGCCACGAGTGTCATTTCGCGTCACGATGTGATCGAAGAAAAGGTCTGAAAATGGTGATAGAGACCCCCGATCGATGGCAATTTTAATAGAGAGCATAATGGTAAACCTGCTTGTTTTGGTGGGGTTACTCCATTTTCAAACCCAAACATTGAAACATCATTGCCTTCCTTGACGTTATTGTTTCGCGACTCTCGGATACATGACTTGTTGGTTTTGCACCTGTTCGAGAATTTTCAGACTCATGGCACCAGGAAATTACGAGTTCTTGTGCCCGAATGAAGGCGCGCTGGGACTCAATGGGATCCTAGATCCTACTATCCTACTTAGACCTATCTATATCTCATATCTATATCTCATATGTTGAAACTTGTGCTTGCACCTGTTATACAAAAATTGTACTTATACTTATACTATTCAATTATATATATATATATGCATATCTGTTGCCAGTAAATACACTACATATCTATATCTATATATTATATATACATACATAGATACATGTATATACAAAACAATACACTGTATATGTCAATGTAGATGTATGTGTGTATGTCTATATCTATGTATCTGTCTGTTTATGAACATTGACCACATGTTATTTTATATAACTACAAAACGAACATATTCATCAGTGGACATCAATGTGGACCTTCCCCACCGTGCCATCCCATGGCCAGGCTTGCCGGTTGCTTCGTGGCTGGCAAGGCGGTGAACATATGGGGATCATCAACATCAAGCGCTGGAATATGACCAAAAAATGGGAAAGCAAGCATCACACAATGGTGATCTAGCCAATAAGAGCACCAATAATGGCCGAAGATGAGGATGGGTGAAGTTACATAGGCCCAATTTGTTGGGATGATCCTGGTGGAAAGCTGTACTTAAATTTCACCAACGCCGAGAACGGGTAGGAGAGACAACTGTGGGGTTTTTATCCGCAAATATGAAGGATGCAACCAACAATGAGGGAACTACCCAAAAGGCATTGGATGGTTATGATAGTAGCCATTACCGCGATCTGCTGGTTTCTGAAGCCTTGACACACCCACATGTTCTAGCAGCCGTTCGACACCAAGTTCAATGGATTTTGCGTTTGGTTGGTACTCATGGCACCCTGGTATATCTGCACGAAAACATGATTTATTTTAGATACCAACCATGTTTGGCCCCCAATAAGAACTGGCAACGTCTCCACCGCAAGGCATGGCATCCAGACGTTGGTCTTACGTGGCGTCCTCGGTGCGTAACTGGCACTGACCCGCACTGACACCGAAAAACACTGATGCAAATTGACTGAGTGAAAGGGAGATAACTTCAGCAAACATCGATATTCAACTTATTCAATCTACCAAAATGGGGATTCACCAATAGTCCTACCACTACAATGTGTATGTGATATGAGCCAACGATATTGAGAGCAACCAATTGGACCAACCAGGACGGAGTGGGCTCATGACAATCATTGAATCATTGATATGGGCATGAATCAAAATGGACGAGACCCCAGCGTTTATGGGTTTATCATGGTTTATCCATCCTCACCCGGACTTAAATGGGTTTTCCAATTTTTGGGAAACGACCCCCAATTTTCTGGTCCATTCCGAGTGATTTTCGCTAGTTAAACCCTGGCTCAGAGGTTATCGCCTGCGGCCGCATTACGATCATCAAGACGCCTTGTCAGACCTGGAGGCGCGCCGGCGGCCTTGTACAATAGCCAACAATACTGGGAAATAGGCACGGATGATTTAAAGTTGCAGCGCGTGGATTAAATGTACCCTGAAGGAAACTAGCATGGATATGGAAAAGCCATAATATGTCTGAAAATTGATCTACAAACAGTGCATTTTCCACACACACACACATATGTATATATATTATAACTTTACCTCAGGGTATAAATGAAAAGAAACTGGTGGTTGTCTGGGTGTAATTTTTGACACATCCCATCAGTATTGAGTGTCTTGGCCCTGGCACCAGCAAACTTTCCTTGCCTGGAGGTGTATGGGCAGAGTTCATGGGGATGTGGGTGCTGAAAGCGAGTTAATACCCATCTCAATCATCAAACTTCCTATTGGGTAGACACAAAATTCTAATGGGTACTTCTCAGGCCCTATCAATTGACATGAGTTTGGCTCAAAACTCTGGCCCCAATAAGATAGGATGTTTCAGATGAGAAATGTGATGAGCCAATTGCCGTCCCGCAGCCCCCCAGTTTCCTGTTTTTTGCGCCATAGCCGTGATATCGGAGGCTTGGAAATCAGAATATTTGTTGGTAATTCCCAATCTTGGTAAAAGTCGGTAGAATCACTATGAAGTTGCTGAAGTTGCTTATATCCATTGATCTTACCATTATATTCCCATCATTCGCACACCTATGGTGTCATGAACCAAATGCTGGACACATCGCCGGACTCGCAGGCAGCCGTGCAGTTGGTCAGGAAGCACAAAGATGGGCCTGTGGCGGGACTCAGATGGCGGAGATGCCGCGTGCCACGGGTCGGGTGTCCAACGCTAGAGGAATGGGGAGATCATCTGAAAACTTGGGGTTGTAGAAGTTGTAGCCAAGAAATATATGTGATATTCAGCAAACCTGGGATTTTACCAGCAGAACTTGGGATTTGAGGGACCAAGGGGGGTTTTTGATCCACACTCAAGTTTTTTGATCTGTGAATGCAGGATACCCAACATTTTGCACATACCAATCACCATTGGGTTCAAGCATATCCTCTTGAATATTGACACATTTTCTACCTTTCACAGGCCTCAACTTGTCACGAGCGGAGGTTGCAGCTATTGGATTTTCCGCGGGCGGCCACCTGGTTGGGGCCCCAAGTGGGTTTTTGGTCGTGAAGGCTGCCCACAATCATGGTTTCATGTCTGATATGGAGGACTTCTTGGTGAAACGCCCAGCGGATTTCGCCTTGTAGACTAATGGCTTCCCATCCTCTTCTATCGGAGATCCCAGGTTTGTACCAGGTTAGATGGGGATGGGTCAAAATCACCAGCTATCTCATGAAACCAGGTACATGAAAACCACAACAAGGTGTGATCCTGTCAGACAATGATGGTATCCCAGACATGCTGTGAAATCCCGGTTGTTACTGGTTATTTTGGTGGACGAATTCACCAAGCTCTCCTCCCCTCGCATCCAACAATTCGTTTTGTCCCTAGTTCTGACGGTTTTCTGATTATGCTCCCCGGGTTTTTTGTTCTATAGTTGAATCCCCATCTGATCAAAATTGATTAAACTAAGCCGTTTTTTTGCTTAGCCCTCCTAATTAGGTGGCCTCATTGAGTTTGCGGCTGAAGAAGTGCGCCCGGTTTTTCGGGGGCCGTAAATGGATGGTTTGGGGAGATTGCCTGGGGAGCCACGGAGTTTTTGGATATTTGTTATGGGCTGAACCCCATTTTTTTTAAGGTTCCTTTTGCGGGCATACCTCGTAGATTTCCATGAACACTGCTATTAAGGTTGTTTCTGAGTTTTTTTCTAAACGGGGACAATCCGCTACCTCTGATCTTCATGTCCTGCTTTCCAATCATCCCATTTTGGTGTATATTATGTATACATGTCTGTATATATATAATATATATATATGGGCGCGCATCTAAATTCCATAGATTTGAAAACATGAAAAAAATGCATTCCACAGATCAAAAATGGTTTGTTTCGCCAGGACGCCGTTGGATGCCCAGGCCTGGTGCGTTGCGAGGGTAGATTCTAACATCCCGACATTCAGAAGGGTGTTGCAGCATGTCTAGTAGATACATGTGACATGTAATACAGGTAAGTCAGAACATAAGACTATATATCTATATCTATATCTAATATCTACTATCTACTATCTAATACCTCTATCTCTCTATCTTTCTATCTCTCTATCTCTCTATCTCTCTATCTATTCTATCCTATTCTATCCTATTCTATCCAATTTTATCCTATTCTATCTAATCTATCTAACCTATCATATTTATCAAATCTATCAAATCGATCTAATCCATCTAAGCTATCTTGTCTATCTATCCTATCTATTCATGCTATCTATCTTATCTTATTCTATTCTATTCTAATCTAATCTATCAATCAATCAATCTATCTATCTTTCTTTCTTTCTTTCTTTCTTTGTATATATATATATAGAAGTTTGGATATCCCCCAACCAGGCATGCTCACTACAGGCTCCAAAGCTCTGGCCCTTTACCGGGGATCTGGGAAGGTCACCCGCCCCGCAGGTCTTGGTGTACCCTGCGATTGATGGCGCTCGCCTCAAATGTCGACATGGGGATGTGTCAAAACCTATGTTTTCCATGATTTTCCCCATGAATTTTTGGGATTTTGCGTGATTTAAGCATCAGCAATAGTGCTAATGATGGGGTTTAATGGGTGAATGATGGGTACTTTCCCTGTTTGGGGGGATGAACATCCGGCTATACCACCTATTTTGCTGCGAACAGAAGGATACCAGGCTTTTGGACTTATAATTACCCAACATGAGTCTGTCCAAAACGCAGGAAGTATCTGAAGAAAACATCCACCATCAAATGGTGATAAATGGGTGGAATTTATCGATTTTGAGCAGAAACATTCATCGATTTTCAATTTCAAGTCATATTTTTGGAGTCATTTCTGACATTTCTCCGCCCTCGGGTCCTCGGGTCCCTCGGTTTCTTGTTGTTTGGATCCCTCCGTTGCCCAAGGCTCGGAGTGGGCAAAGCCGGGCTCCGCGGGCTTCTGGGATCCAGTGCCTGGGCTGCAGATCAGGGGCTTGCGGGTCGCGGTTTGCAGATGGGGTCAATGGATACACTCGGATCCCAAAAGCAAGTACTTTAACAATGGGGCGCAATCCTCACCTCGATTCCGTAGATTCCCTCCGGTAATCTCCAGCATAGGCGTGCAACAAGAACAGCGACAAGCTTCTGGAAGGTGGGATGAAAAATGAGGGATTTTTGGAGTTGGGAAGTGATTGCCTTGCCCGGTTCAGTCACTCTCCAAGGTGGACCCAGTAAGACCAACTTCAGCAATCATCCCCACTGCTGTGACACCATGTCGGGCAGAGAAATAAGCCACACCATCCTCCTATGGAACAAACCCTAAGTGGGTCCAATCCAGTGTTTTCCAATTTGGTATTCTAATCTTTTGTCGCAAATGGATAGAAATGGATATATTTACTAGTCAGATTTGTCCCTTTGTTTGCAGGGCATCTAAGATTGGCCACGGAAAGTAGTTGTGTTTAGTACTGTAGCTGGGTGATAACGAAGAGTGGGCTTCCTGTGATACGTCCCAGTTTGAATCACCATCTGGGTGTGGCCAGGACATAAACATTGGAGGGTTAGTTGCTCAGCAGGACGGGTTTTGTTGGTTCATTTGATCCTAATTCCAAGCCAGAGCTATGTACCATATCACTGTAGGGGGTGATTATTCAGCAATGTTGCTATTTACCAGTCAAAAATGCTTGGTTGATAAGACCTACATGATGGTATTACCCCCAACAGAAATAGAGGTTTCCTAAAATAAGGGTACTCCTAAATCATCCATTTTGGTAAGATTTTCCATTATAAAATAATATCCTTTTTGGTGATCCCTCATGACTATGGAAACCTCCAAATCATATCGTTACTGTCCCCGTGTTCCAATCGAAAGGGGAATCCCGGCGCAGGTCAGCAGGCACTCCTAGGAGGACCTGGTGGGGTTCAGGTGGATACCCGCAATCCCTGGATGAAACACCGGTGAATACCCCAGAAATGTGCCAGAAACAGCTCGGTTTAGAGGATGTTTCAGCTCGGCTGGGAGAGAAGATGCTTCGGCTTTTGACAAGTTGGATTTCCCGGGTGTACCTTGTGGTTCTTTGCGAAAATGATGGGCCCAGTATCTCGTCAGAAATACAGGGGTTGAAAGTATACCCATAGCTCAGGGTAACTACGGTAAGAGTTGACTGAGATTGCAGATAATCTAACATCTGTGGGATCGAGTTGTCCAATATATCCCATATTTGGCAGGTGAAATCCCAATTTGTTCCACAAAAAGTTGCGTCAGATTCCTCCTTTCTGATCCTTTTTGCTGGTGAAATTCTGAAACCCATCCGCAACTCATCACTCCGGAAGGACGTGGTTTTGCAGCACCGTCCGGATCTCGCTGGTGGGACATTTCATGCGGATCAGCAGTCCAGATTCTGGGTGACCCCGATTGAAACTGGCACGCAAATGCCAGACATGTACCTACGATGTATACGTATTTATGTGTATATAATTTTATGTGTATATATAATATTATATATATATAATATATTCTATATATAATATATATATAATATGTAATATAATATATATATATATAATATATTATATATAATATATTATATATATAGTATAACATATATATATATATATCGATATCATGTATGTACATAGATGTGTCCTATGCAAATCTCATACACTTGCAAGACATAGATACACCCGTAGCCAATTCAGGGGATATGACCAGCAATCCTCGGGTGTGACCCCTTCCACTGGGTCGCTAAGGCCCAGCTTTATCGTGGGCTCGACAGGGGATGCGGTTTGCCCCGCCAAGGCCTGTTGTGTTGGGGACTTCTCAAACCATGATTGGTTGATTTTTCTGTTGGCGAACGAACCCAAGCTAATATTCCAGATTGGCTATTGCTTATGGCTTTGGACAACAATCCATCAAGACAAGGTGTTGCATGCCCCCCGCACACTTTGCTGCGTGGCCACCAGAAGCGTCGAGTGTCAGGTGAACATATCAGGACAGGGGATCACGTGGGCCGTACCTTTTTTCTTTTTTTAATTGTTAGTATCCCACCATGCCACCTTTTTTTTGGGGGATGCCCAAGTTTCCTTGCCCAAATTCCCGTTATGCTCCGGGTTGTTGGCGATCTCCCCATATTTCAATGGTAAAATCCACGTTTGAGTTGCTTAAATCCAAATCCACTCGGTGGCAGGCCCACACTGATCCTTACGTAGCAGCCTTGCGGAAGAGGCTTTTGGGGGCTGCACCAGAGCCACCTGTGGCTTTAAGCAATATCCAGATGTATCCGGCAGTGAGACAGCATGGGCCACATGCGAAACCCTTCCCCTTTGAGTCCGGATTCGAAGACTTTTTTGAGCTGGAAGGGGATCTGTTCCATTATAGTCATTATAGCCACATTTGGTTGAAGCTGAATGAACATCATCACTTGAACTTGGGTGTGTCTGCGAGATCCTGATTCGGGAACGCCTTGAAATGATCGAAACTCAAGAATAGATCCCCTCCGGCAGTTTGTGGTCCCTCACTTTGGTCATTTTAAGTCAGAGCCATATCAGGTTCCAACGATCCACAGGTGGCATGGCGAAAAAACAGGTCGTTCACTCGGCCATGATGATGGCCATTGCTCCAACTTGTAATAAACTCATTTCACCCCACTTTGAAGTTGCATAAAACCCCATTGTAACGCTTTATACCACCGCTGTAAACCACATTTTACTTGGTACATAACTTACATAACCCGCAGTGGAGTATTGACAACCACATTGAAACCTGTCAGTTTGTTCTGGGCGCTGCCTTAAGAACTACCGCTGCAGGGGCATCGCGCACGAATACGTGCGGGGCAACTTGGGAGAACACGGCTTTGGACTGGTCGGGACGCTCAGGGCTAGAATAATGAATAATGGGGATTTGATGTAATAATCAGAAATGGGGATTTAACCAACAACAACTTCGGTGGTATAATGGGGAGATTATGGGATCTAATGGCTAAACTTTCATATTCGTGAAAGATTATCATGTGTCCAGCAGGGGATTTCATGGTGATCTTCATGACCATCCAGTGGTCTAAGATGCTCCGCATACTGCAGAGGGGCACTGTACAGATGAAATGGTTGCGTATTTATGTTACCTTTTTGCTGGCATTAGCAATGATGTATATGTATATATATATATACAGATAGATACAGAATATATAATTGGATGGAATATGTATATACTGTAATACATCCAATGCATGTGCTTGCAATGATGATGTATCCACATGCAGATAAAAGCTAAACACCATCTCTACACTCACACATTCCAATCCAACGTATAGAATACTGGCATATATACATATTACATATTTATATAAACATACCTGTATTATGTGCTTGGATATAGCCAATACTACATTGCACATACATATATATATATATATATACATATACACAGATATTGCCAAAATTTCCACCCAACTTCTCCATGTCCATTTGTTTCCACTCCCATGGTTGGCGCCGCGCCCGAAATTGGCCAGGACCAGTGCTGGAGCAACGCGTGTGCCGCCTGGTTGCAGCAACGCGGCTTTGGCAAGAAGCTCGCGCAGCGCGACCTGGCGGCACCAGGGGCCGTTGATTGGTTGGATAGGAGCCATTGGTATCGTAATGTTGGCCCATAGTTGTTGGTTGATATGGGGGATTCCCAGAATCCGTGAAATATATGGGAAATGCATCCCGAAATACTATGAACCAAGCAGTTTTTGAAGGGACGACGTTGCGGGTTTTGAACACTGCTCACTTGTTTTTTTGAATCGTCCGGAGGTGATCCCCTGGGGTTTGTGACACCAGGCTCATGGGCAGGCTGCCGTCTTCAACCCACAGGACTGCGTGCCAGGGACACGTTGGGATGATGTTGGCGGGATGCTTCGCAAATGGGACACCTTACTGGGAGAATTTTGGATTTCAAATGGTTCTTGATCAAGTTGAGCCACCGCAAAATGCCAGTTTTTTTGGGAGTTGGCCAAAGATGGTGAGAGCATCACTGCGTCTCCCTGCGATTTTCAGGACTTTGAAGCCGAGACAGGTCGGGACCTGAGCGAAAATGGCTAGGATGCGAGCAATGGCCAATGGGTTAATCCGATAGGATAAACCGACTCATGAACCAGTTGCAGCCATATTGATGAATATTTCATACCCAACTGAAAACTAGCTTGTTTGAAGGGTGCTCATATTTAAGAGTAGCCATGGATGGGGGTTGAGGGTTTAGGGTTGATGGATTCTCATCTACAAGAACCTGGATCAGTTTTGGGTTGAGGGTTTTGTGCATCAAGATGAGAGACGCTGAAAGATACTTCCTAAACAGAAAGTAGATGGCTCTCATTCTTGTTGAAGGCTCATTGGGGACCACGCAGGGGCTGGTCCCTTCCAGTAAACCATCCCATTTTTGCCGCCAACGGCACCACCAGCTGCCAAGGTTGTTGAAGCGACTGATGGAAATTCAATGCCAAAAGAGCATCTTGGACAGCCGACGCTCATTTTGATCCTTTGACTTTCGGACCAAAATCACGTAGACTGGTCCAAGGAGACAACATGGGGTCAGTTGTTTGTCATACGATGGCGATGGCGACCTGAAATCCTTGCCCTGCGTCAAGTCTGTCCAACTGTCCAGCCATTTCGAGCTGTATTCCTGATCTTTTCCGCACTCAAGTTGCAAACTGTACATTAGAGGGCAGTGAACAGCCTTTCTGCAGTTCAGTGATCAGACTTTGGCCACGTTTGTTTCGCCTAAAAGGTACAGTATTGTCCATGAAACAGCCTCCTAAGTATACATTTACAGACTGGGGTCAGCATTGACCATCCTTTAAACATGAGCATTTTTTAAAAAAGGAGCGCCGTGATTCCCCCCTACCATAGTTACTGCCATCCTTGAAGCCAACGGCCAAGCAATCATTGAGCTGGGGTTTGGGCTTCATCAACGAATTTGCAAACTTGGTTCAGGCTGCCTGCTGATCACAACAGTATCCTACCGTCATCGGACCAGTGATGCACCAACACATCGCACAAGAGTGGTTTATTTCAGTTGAAATCCTCACGATTCCTAAAAACCTTCACATGCACAGGCATATTCACAAATCTTTCTATTCATTCTTAACTAGATTGAAGTTCAGATTCCCTTGGGTTGAAGATGCCTTTGCGCATCGAATTGGAACCATTACTGCAGACATTTCCATCAGCTGAGATTCCCAGGGCACATCACCTGAATGGCGGTTGAGGACGTGTCAGGAAGCGGCAACATGGGGACTTGTTACAAGCCAGAAAAGGTATCTGGAGCCATGGTTGGACAAATCTCAAATCTTCAGGGAATACTGAAAATGACCTAGACATTTGTATGCATGTACATATGGTAGGATATACATGTACATATACGTAGGAACTAAAGATGCAAATCCTAGGTTTGGGGTTGAACCTGGGTCCGGGTATATAGCATCTTTGTCATTCAACAGATCGGGCAGCTGGCAGAAAGCTGACGCAGAAAACCCGCTGGTGGTGGCGTCGATGCCACAGTTCCAAGTGCAGCAATTGAGATGCTACCATTGTGATTTTGCGATCAAAAGATGGTGCCGATGTTACTGACATCAATGGGGGGATATGATACAACCGACACAACTTGTGTGTTAAGTAAAATGGGTTTTAGACGACCATCGCGGTCTTGTTTACCAGAACAGTTGATGGCTTACCAACCATGAAATGGGGATCTTTTTGATGTGTCTGGTTGGTTGTTTTAGCATGTTTTAGCATCTTTCAGAGATTTCGTATGTCTATCAGTCTATCCCGACCTGTGGTGATGATGGGTTGACACCACCAACTCTTGGAACTTTTGTTTCTCCTTTTTCATGACTATCAAGACTCATCCGTACACGTGAATCTAGAAGCAGCAACTTCAATCAGACTCATAACCATCAAACTTCGTCTTCGGAGTTGGACGTTTTTTGACCCATACCCTCGGGTAATTCAATATCGCTATGGAACATAGTCAGTGTGAATTGGTAAGGTAAATAATCGATCTCAATGGGCCATTTTCCATAAACTGTTAAATTACCAGAGGGTATATCAGCCACCAAGTGCAGTGGTTTGTGGCCAGGGCGTTTGATCTCAAACTCAGTGTCCTGGTAGCAAACACGGTGGATTATCCATGGGATTGGTGAATTCAAACATATCTCTGAACAGTGCTATATATATAATATACATATATACATATTACACATGATATACACATATCTGGGATATATGTATACATGTGTAATTGAATGTTTACAAACTAAAATATGTTTATATACATTTTTGCACGGGCACACCTACCTTCAACGCCAGTTTGGGGCCAATAACCTTCAATGCTTCGCACCGGGTCCATTTTTCCAGCGATGGCGACCGTCCATGTCACTGACGACGGTCCATTTCCTGCTCGCTGGTGGAGTTGGTGCTTTCTGGCTCACAGTCCCCGTGAGCCTTCCAGAGGTCGGGCACTGGGCCCCCGGGCTTGGGAGATTCCCGGCAAGACCCCAAACAGTGTGGGGGAGTGGGAGGATAATGTATGATAATGTATGATAATGTACGATAATGTATGATTATGTATGATGATGTATGATGATGATGATGATGATGATGATTGGGATGAGGATGAGGATGAACATGTTGCGGACGATGATGTTGAGGATGATGGTGTTGAGGAGGATGAGGATGAGGATGCGAATGTGGAAGATGACATTGAGGATGATAAGGTGGAGGAGGATGATGTTCAGAAGGAGGAAGATGATGATGTTGAGGATGAGAATGTTGAGGAAGATGATGAAAAGGACGGTAATGTTGCGGAAGAGGAGGTGGAGGATGATGATGTTGAGGATGATGATGTCAAGGGGGAGGGAGATGATGATGTTGAGAATGATGATGTTGAGTAGGAGGAAGATGATGATGTTGAGGATGATGAGGTGTAGGGTGATGATGTGGAGGCTGATGAGGTGGTGGATGATGTTGATGATGTCCAGGATGATGATGTCAAGGGGGAGGAAGAGGATGATGTGGAGAATGATGATGTTGAGGAGGATGATACTGAGGATGCTGATGCAGAGGAGGAGGACCGATCCCAAGACCGCGCTGCTTGTTTTGTGTGAGCCTGCGCAGTCGAAATGCACGTCAACATTTCAGAAGAGCCACTTTATACAGAAATGTTCAGGAAAAATGCCGCCCCAGACCCGAGGACCACACTTTGTGCGAGCCTGCGCAGTCGAAATGCGCTTCAACATTTCACAAGAGAACCTGTTTTTTTTTTTAATTTTACAGGAAAAATGCCGCGGCCCAGAACCTAGGACCACACTTTGCTCGAGTCTGCGCAATCGAAATGCACTTCAACATTTCACAACAGCAACTTTTTACGGAAATTTACAGGAAAAACTTGGGCACAGAAGCCAGGACCACACTTTGTGCAAGCCTGCGCAGTCGAAATGCACTTCAACATTTCAGAAGAGCCACTTTATACGGATATTTACCAGGAAAAATGCTCGGCCCCAGAACCGAGGACCACACTTTGTGAGAGCCTGCGCCGTCGAAATGCGCTTCAACATTTCACTAGAGAACTTTTTTAATGGAATTTTACAGGAAAATGCCGCGGCCCAGAACCTAGGACCACACTTTGCTCGAGTCTGCGCAATCGAAATGCACTTCAACATTTCACAACAGCAACTTTTTACGGAAATTTACAGGAAAAGCTTGGGCACAGAAGCTAGGACCACACTTCGTGCAAGCCTGCGCAGTCGAAATGCACTTCAACATTTCACAACAGCCACTTTTACGGAAATTTTCAGGAAAAATGTTCGGCCCCAGAACCAAGGACCACACTTTGTGCGCGCCTGCGCAGTCGAAATACACTTCAACATTTCACAAGAGCAACTTTTTACAGAAATTTACCGGAAAAATGCTTGGCCCCAGAACCTAGGACCACACTTTGTGCGAGCCCGCGCAGTCGAAATGCACGTCGATAATTCACAAGAGCCACCTTATACGGAAATTTACGGGATAAATGCTCGGGCCCAGAGTGAGCACCCTGATCAAGCACCGGCCTTTACTCCTTCTGTAAGAACCCCTCAGTGTGGACACACTGTTTGGGGAAAAAAAAATTGTGTAGGTTTTTGTAATCAGTTGATTGTCAGCTCGTAAGTGGAGTAACATCCAAGGAACAGAATTCTTATTGCGCAGAGTATCTAAAGTTAACCACGGGGATTGAAAAAGAAACCGCCAACCAAGGGGGATGTTCATCAACAAGAATTGGAACCAAAATTATCAATGTCTCACCTTGGAGGAGGCCAACTTCACATTGGTATATCTTGGCACAATGCACAAACATGGATATGTATGATATGATCACCACGGATTTAGTGTCTGAAAGAAAACATATCCCATGGGAAATCTCTGAGACATCAATGGTTGGTTGTGAATTCCAAATATTCAAAGACTTTGAACCCGGTAACAACAATTTAATTCCATTGAGAAACCAATTATATCGGTCCATCATGGCTCTTCCCATCGCAGGCAGATGAGACGGACGTCTGGGATTTGACCTGGAATACCAGCGCCGAGTCCGCGGAATCTTTGGTGAACCGTCTGGAGAAAAGCCTTGGGGGCCAAGGCATCCAAGCTGCAGAGGGGAAAACCAGGTACATCAGGTACCCCCCATGGGACGCATGGGAGATGTTTTTTTCTTTTTGGAGAACCGGAAACTTTTTGGTTTTCTGGGTTTGAGGTTTCACCGTTTGACCCGTACCTAACCGTTTTACACTTCCTATTCTTTGGGATGGCTTCCGTTGGCTCGTTGGCTCGTGTTGGGGGCGAAACCAGGTTGGGTCCCCTCAGGACTTCGATTACACTTCGGCAATTTGGAGTCTTCAGATGAGACCGCCATCCCTATGGTGACGACCCCTGACTTTCTGATCATGAGAAACTTGGCCTGATCAACTGCAAAAACCGACTTCCTGTGGAGATTTAGAGTTTGTCAACTTTTCAAGTCTTGAGCCTAGTTCTATCCGCCCTTCAACGGTATCCTTGAACACCGCCAATAAGTGCAGGATTCTGCACACTGCCACCAGTCTTCATTCCGAGTTTGCAATTTAATGACGTCCATCCATCTTCTGCGTAATCCCATCTCGGTCTTCACCAGTCAAGCATCCCCACCAGCACCCCTGCGGTACACTAATTATTTGCCCATCACAGCTACTCATAGTAGGAGAGGCGGTGGGGCCAACGACCTTCCTGACCTGGAGCCAGTTCCTTGGATCGATGTACATGCAACTGGCGAACTTTCGCCCCGATGTGGCGCTGCGAATTGAGCTGGCGCCCTATCGTGACGCCCAGGCCGTGGCGACCACGGGGCTCTTTCTGTGCTCTGGCGATACGGGGACCATGTCTTTACCGGGCAAGTGGTGACATGAGATGACCCCAGTTGGTTGAAAATGGTTGGTAAGTCGATTAAGTCCAAGAAAAGAACATCCCAAAGTTGAAACTTGAACCAATGATTGTCGCATTGTATTTGCAGTTTTCTTCATTGCTTTAACAACTTCATTGCAGCACACCTTTCGCAAACAAATTCGATTCCTTCATGAATATCCTAAGCTCTGAAAAGAAATAAATCCATTGAAGCCATTGCAGAATAAGGTCTGATAAATCATGATACTGTAAATCCATTGAAGCCATCGCAGAATAAGGTCTGTGAAAGATCTATAATGGATGGAAGATATTTTGAAGGCTCACGCATGCTCACGCCATTTTCAATCAATTTGAATTCTTCATCTTGCAAAAAAAAGAGCCTTCAGGGAGTACACTTTTTGCAGGAATAATTCTTTTGCAAAAAATAATTATTTCATCAACATCCCAAGCTCTGAAAAAGGTAAAGCCACTGTGGAATAAGACCTTGTGAAAGAGATGGAATATATTTCCATATTTGGGTTTGATGTTCAAATGTTGCTGCCATGTGTGTGCAATAGCTCAGCTCCAATCAGTTTTCCGCACGGCTTTTTAGATGGGCAATGTTATTTTGAACGGTGGCAAAAAATCAGTGTCCAGCAAATGATAGTTTTTGTGCTATTTTTTTGAAGCGTAAAACATTTTTCTGTAGAATAGCAATTAGAGGGATAAATACGCTTAATTTTTGAGCGTTCACTTTGCACATGTACTTCAAAAACGTTTCTTTTTGTAGAATGCCAATTAGTGCACATACAGAGGGATACGGTTAATTTTTGAGCGTTCTCTTTGCACATTTACTTGCATTCACTATATTTTTGTGAACGCTCAATGATTTTTTCGAAAACATCACTCTATATGTACAGTAATGGAAGAAAGAGGCAAAGAGAGAGATTCAAAACTGTTTGTCATATTGGTTTACGATTGTATGTTTGTAATACGTCTCGTAAGAGATCTGCTGGAAATCTGCAAAGGAAATTATACACCAAAGAATATGTTGCTATTAATGGTTTATTGAGCATATTATTAAACCAATCATATTTGTGTTGGACAGCTACTTGTTCAATTTCTGCTTGAAACCACTAGTAGATGGTTATGAAGGATTTTAAGTGAGAAATTGTGTTTTTGTGGCGGCCCCAATAACTCCGCTTTCTATTTAAGGCTTTTAGGTGGCAATGTTATTTTTTGAAGGTGAAGGGTGGCAAAAAAAACAGTGTCCAGGAAATGATATTTTTTTTGGATATATTACTTTGAAGGTGAAGGGTGGCAAAAACAGTGTCCAGGAAATTATATTTTTGTCGTGTTATTTTTTGTTGCCAAAGGGATCCCACCGAATTGGACATAAGATAAACACATATACCTTCATTTTGGGCCTTTTTTGGAAACTCAAAATGTCAATGTAAAGAAAATTGAATAGCAATATATGTATTTGTTATCGGATTGAGTGCAATAGCTTCATTTTGGGCCAATTTTGGAAACCCAAGGTGTCAATGTATGGAAAATTGAATACCAACATATGTCTTTATTATGGGATTGAGTGCAATCCAAAGCTCTTGCAAAACGCTATTACAAAATAAGGCCTTATGAAGGGTATTTTTTAATGGATTGAACATATTTTCCTGGGGGCCACACAAAAGGCCCGACTTGTTGGACTCTGAGGCTCCAGTCGCCCAACACGGTGATCTGGCACATCCTTCCCAGGGCCATCCAGGAGCGAAGACAACCCCCTGAATAAGCTGGGGCTTTTTCATGGGTTTATGGGTGCAAACCTCATCTGCGTAGTCTGCCTCACAGGCTTCACCAGCTGCATGGCCATCTCACAAAAGGATTGTTAGAAAGATTCCTGTTGCTGGTAGCTGCTCTGGAACTGAGTTAAGCCAATTTAGTGCGATACGAGTGGAATTGAACCCATTTGCTAGCCATGTACTGACTTAACACATGTCTCTGGAAGATAGGAAAACATCCGTGTAAACCGCAGTGACGTACAATTGTTGGGATGATTGCCTCGCTGTCTTATTTCTATCTCAGTAATGAGTGGCAAGTATTCAAGGTGTGCCAAGTACTGATGCGAGACACAATCCATGACGCTGCCGGTCAAATATCCCGAACCTTTTGAAGTTGACACCTACCTATGGATTAGACGGAAGGACATCGTTGTTCCCATTTTTCAGGTGAAGCCAGTGACATTCGCCCACTCTTTTGTAGGCTCTGGGAAACCCTGGCAACCGCAAGATTTGGTCAGTTTCACTTCATCTTGATGCAACGAATGCCCTGGCATTCGTTGATGACGTCCCCATGTTTTGGATCCATATAGATGTATCACTCATGCTTACGCACAGACCCCTTTTGTTTTGAAGATGAAATACATTGCATTGTACATGCAATACGTTACATTGCATTACATTACACTACATTACATTACATCACATTACATTACATTACAATACATTACATTACATTATGTACATTACATTAATTACGTCAGATTGCATGACATGACATGACACTACATTACGTCACCTCACCTCAAATTACATTCAGAAATAAATAGATCAAAAATGAAAAGATAGAACATACTTCTCAAGCAGCAACCAAACAACAACTCCCTCACACACATATATACGTATATATAATGCATTCGCATATATTCCCAGAAGTACATACATATATATATACATATTTATTTACACACACACACACATATACTGTACATATGTGTGTGTATATATATATTATATCTATACACATGATATGAGAGATACCTTTCCGAGGGATCTCCAGGATGTCTGGAGCTACTTCCGGCAGTTCCGTCTCCACGTCTTGGTGCACGGCCTGGAGGACTTTGCGCCGCAGCTCTGGCGCCGGGCGCTGGGCAGCGCCCTCGGGGCCTTGGGGGGTCTCCATTGGTGCGGCTCTGCCACCTGGAGATGTGCCGGAGGATGTGGTGAATAGTGTAAGTATGAAGTACATATATCATCTTATATATATATAATATGAATATGTACCCGCATACGTATGTATGTATGTATGTATGTATGTATGTATGTATGTATGTATGTATGTATGTATATATATATATATGTACAGTATATAATTTATATAATACATATTTCTACATCTAAGATGTGTTCATATACTGTATGATTATGAATATACATTTGATGACTGTATGGTGAAGTGCATGTGAACACGCTCCCCAAAATGGTTACATCCATTTAGAAGCCACAGATGGGCTTCTCATGTTTCGCAATGACAATGGTGAGGATAATCATGATGATGATAACGATATTTATGATAATAACAATCGTGACAACAATGACAATCCCATTGCAGCCATATATCAAATACCCACCAGAAACCATTGGTTAGTAAAGGATCTATTCATTTTAGGGCCCTGTCATGGGGGTATTTTTTAAAGGGGGGACGGGATTATTCACCGTCCAAATGTGCACCCAATGAGTTGACCTTACATACAGTATCTATATACACACATATACATATGAAGACGCCGACGCACGTATTTATGAATATGCTTATGTGTGACATATGATACTGTTTATTGTACCCATTTTTTTTTGGTTGCATTCTGCATACAATCTATCATGGCTTTAGATCCATCCCGATCCTTTGCCCTAATTTTATTTGAGTAGCAACGACACGTTCTGTTCATCAAGCAAAGCTTGAGGTGAACCGCGCACCCAAGTTCAATCGGCGCCTGGCTGAAAGTCGCAACACTGACAACTACTTCAACAAGGTTATTTGGAGAAATACTCGTACAGGGTCAACCCCGGACCAATACACGCTGGTTGCTCATTTGTTGGGAACCCTCAACCAGTTACAATTTGCTCCAGAAATGGGTGCCCCTCAACAGCTTCGTGGGTTGGCTTCATCCTGGAACGTTCTGGTTCTGCGTCCAGGTCTTTATGATGTTGGCGATTGCCGAGCACCAGCATTTTCAATGGATACTCTCTGTGTCGAAGCTGAGTCATGAGCGGGCAAACTGGGCAGGTTGAACGCGTGTGAACGATACTGCTTCATGAAATTGAACCAAGTAATGATTAACAGTCATTGATTCACAAATTTTCCTGGGAAGGAATGCAATCTCCTTGGCAGAACATGGCTCACTTTTTGCAAAACATCACTTGTGACTTGGGGTCGATCGCGGGAGCCTACCCAAGGTAGATGATGACGTGTTCTTGCCACCAGCCTCTCTGATGCTCGGTAAATTTACCATGGAAGCCACGTGTATGGCCGTGTCCAATAGGAAAATACTCTTCCGCAATTTTTGGAGTTCCATGTGAATTTCACGGGGTGTGTTCGAAGCCGTTTTTGAAACCTTCTGTCAGTCTTATGCTAGCTGTAAGCCTGTAAGCAAATCTAAGGATGTCACTGTTGAGAAGTGGACCAATGGCAGATGAGCGCGGCTGTGGAGTGCTGCTGCCATTGACTCAGAATGGCATCCCATCAACTGAAACCTTTGCCAGATCTTGGTTGTCAGAGACCTGGACGATCTGAAACCAATGAGGATCCATGGGGGCTTGGGCGTAGCTGTAGACGCAAGCAAAGTGCAAGTACTGTATGTGTATACAACATATAACACATAACATATGTATATTATATTATATTATATTATTATATTATATTATATTATATTATATTATATTTATATTATATTATATTATATTATATTATATTACATTATATTATATTATATTATATTATTATATTATATTATATTATATTATAATATTATAATATTATATTATATTATATTATATGGTATATTATTTGTATCTACAATATACGTACGGTATATACACAAACATGTCAGAGGTCTGTATCTCTGGTATATCCTTACGATTTTCGGTTCCATCACGAGCCAATGCCCAACCATGTGTTTCCCATATGCATAAACACGCTGTATGTATGTGTGTACTATATATATGTATATGTATATATACATGTATGTATATGTACACCCATGACATCCTGAATGTCTTTCGGTGTGGGAAGGCAATCCCCTGTTTTTTTTTAAAGTTTTGACAGCCTGGGCTGTGTCCATTTGGTTCGGTCACCAAGGCATCGCGAGATTTGACAACGCCATCCCCCGTTGACTATTGAGCAGTGGCTGCAAAACCCCTTGTGATGAATGATTATAGTGATTTATAGTGCGTTATACTTGGTTATAAATCACTATCACTATAATATACACTATAAATATAACCACTATATTTTGGGTTATACTGTATACCACCCCAAATATCCGGGATTACCCGATTACCACAATCCATGAGCTGGGAATCCAAGGGTTTTCTGCAATACAAACTAGTACTCCATGGCAACCTGGCAGTTTCTGAGGAAATGGATCGAGCAGAGCTCTTCCGCTGCTTCTCACAGAGTTCTGGACAGTTTTGCACAGATGGGAGCTTGATGCAGAACTGTTGGAATGCCACTGATGACAGCATCCCTGCCGTCCCTGTTCCTGACCCTTGGGATGAAGTGACTTGGTATGCGAACGTGAAAGAACGCTTCGCACTGCGCTGGTGGAAGAATCACCCTGTCGCTGGGAATATGAGTTGCATGTTGCTGGTCTTGAATCTGGCGCTGAAAGGGGTGGACAGCAAATGGTTTCATTCACTTTCAGAGGCTGGGAACATCATGGTGGACTCTGAGTTTCAGTATCCATACTTTGCGAACAACGTGTTTCTGATGCGGTTTGACCGATGCTTGGTGCTGGTACGAAGCATTTCATTTTCCATATGACTTGTACTGTACTGGCGTCCTTGTTATAGATATATTTGTGAATATCCTTTCGACAAAAAGCATTCCATCTAGTTGGGGGAATACAATCCAATGCAGATCCGTCCATGAAGCACGGCTGATAATGTCGCCCATTGGGGCAGCACAAGTGTGGTTTTCTGGGACCCACAAATTTTGGTAATTTCTGCAAGGAAACTCTCCTACTACTTTGAGAGGGTGCCCAAATTTGAGTCCTACCTATTTATATTTATATATATATTATATATTATATATTATATATTATATATTATATATTATATTATATTATATTATATTATATTATATCATATTATATTATATTATATTATATTATATATATATTATATATATACATGTGTGTATGAAGAATGCCGTAAATACACATATATATATATGCATAGACCCTATGACTTCTTGACATTTTTTAAATTTCAAATGGAGTGAGGCTCCAACTCCAACCCACCAGGATATGTGCGCGTGATGGCACATCCGGACTGCTGCCAGGGAACTGACGAACGAGCCATGAATCAAGTTCTACAGGAGGACAACCATTTTATGGGGATATGATGGGGATCTCCCTAGCAATATCAGCAAATTTTGCCTCGACTTTCAGACAAACTCATATCATTCTCACGGAAAGTCTATGGCAGGATTGACGTTGTCTCTCTCTCTCTCTAGCTATTGAAGGTGACAGGTGCTACTTGGATCGCTGGGGTACATATTTCATTTTACAGGTTTATGTACGGGTGTATATCAAACCCCCAACACGGTATGTAGGTGAAGGTTCAATATGTCAGCTATTTGGTTCATTTCTGGAATTTTCATGTGCGCGAACACTTCTACATGCATGCATACGAGAAAAGAATGGAGATTCTAAATGTACTTTATGTGTACTGTACATGAAAATACCTACATGCAATATCAATACATGATTATGTTGTACATCAACTAGCCCGAAAGGTTTACCATTTTCAATTTTCCCCAGAATTTGTCAGCCTACCTATGTGGCTTTCATTTCAAATAGGCAGAGTCGGCTTAAATTGCATGGTGCTATCTGGGGCCCATATGAGTTCGTCTACAGCATATACAAACATGAATACTTGTGTACATAGAAGCTTTTCTTTCTCCTTTTCCCATCTCTCTTACATAAATACAAAAAAAAAGTATGGGAAGATCTGGGTTCACGTCAACCTTGTGCATCCAAGATTCAACACAACCACCGGCGCCAGGAGCGCGCCCCGCTGTGCATGGACCTGCAGACCTTTGGCCTTCATCCCGCGTGGGGCAACTTCGGACAAACCATGAAGAACGCCGTGGAACTGCAGACCTCTGAGCTGATGAAAGATCTCTTTCCTGCCCAGTGGTTTGCCAAAAAAGATCGGCATATGCTGTGTGTGGTGTTTTGGGGCTCCAAAATGGAACAAGAAGAGACCATTTTTTTTCAAAACCATCCTGGGTAAGGGATGATAAATGGACAAACCAAACCAGACCAAACCATCTTGCGATATGAGTTTGTCCAAAATAGGCTACCGAGTCTAGTGGCTTGGCTTGATGGCTTCCCCCCATTAAGCTGTGTTTTTTTTTGGCGGATGCCCAACTTCTGGATACCCTCAAGTAATCAAACATGGCAATGGACAATTTCTCATTTAGTTCGATAATTTTCCCACTACATGCTTGACATGTTTGATTACCCGAGCGCAAACCCGTATATCATCAGCTACCATCGCTATCATTGCTGTCATCGCTTCCTCCCCGAGCCGTTTGAGCGGTTCAACACTTGGACGGAGACTACCGAGACGGAGAGCGCAGCAGGCAGCTGAGAGTGGATGGCTGGACTTTGCAGAGGTGGGATGATCATGATAAACATAGAAACAGCAGCAACAACAACACCAACCACAACCACAACCAACAACCAACAACCAACAGCCAACAATGTCAAATAACATCAAATATCCTCCTAGACCCCCAGTAAAGTATTGTTGGTGTTCATTTAGGGATCCCATATGGAAGGTATTTGAGAATGGGAAAGTATTAATCATCAAAACCGGGGATGTGGCCATGATATACCATGACAGCATGTTAGTTCACAGCTCTCAAAACGGCATGATTTACCACAAAACCTGTTCCCACAAGAAATCCTGAACATTCTTAGCTTCCAGGTGGACGTGGTGTGGTCTTGGTGACCTGCTTGGGTGCCTACTTTTTGTCCATGGCAATGATCTACCAGATGAGTCCCTTCTTCGAAGTCTACGCTCGCAAGAGTTGCGGTGCCAGCAGTTTGACCGTGGGTTTTATCTTCGCAGCCATGCCCATGAGCAGCTTTGTTGGGAACCTGGGGATGGATGGGATGATCCGAAGATTTGGGGTGGAAGTGATGATGAATGTGGGCCTCATCCTGTTAGCTGCGAGTTCTTTGGGCTTTGGATTATCCCAAAATGTGACGGGCTGGTTGTGCTGGCGCTCCATGCAGGGGTTCGCCACTGCACCCATCTACACCTCCATCAGTACGCGGCTGGCGCGTACATTCACAGGCGAGGGAGAGTTCCATCGCGTGGTGGGGCTGCAGGAAGTCTGTGGCAATGTGGGGGTGACCCTTGGTCCATTGCTGGGTGGAATGCTCTTCCAATATGGCGGCTTTTCTTTGCCCTTCATCGTCAGTGCTGGGTTGCACCTGCTCTTTGTTGGTATATCTTTGCTCTCAATATGTTGCAAGGAAACCAAGAGTGGCAGCGAGGAAGCTGAACCCTCGGATGCTCATGGCTTGGAAGCAGGCCCCATCTCTGAAGATCCCACTGTGACCATTTGCTCCGTTGCCACGGTGCGACTGCTGCTGCTGAGTGGCATCTCCACCTTGTGTTTGGGGGTTTGGGGTGCTTTCGAGCCCCTGCTGGCAGATCATTTTGTGAAAATCCTGGGTCACATCGATCACACCTTCATCGGCTTCTTGATGTCGCTCTCAGCCGTGCCCAGCACCTTTGCAGCTATGGCGGTGCCCAGCCTGTTGCGGTGTGTCAGAGCCAAGTGGCTGATGGCAGGGGGCCTGGTGATCTATGGCTTTGGGTCATTTTCCATGGGCAGCTGGGAGCTG